CACATGTGCTTACAAATACGTACACACACACACACACTTTCTTTTCTCTTTCAATGTTACACATCGCGCACCTGCATATACTGACGAGGAAGTTACATAAATACCCCTCCCAACCCCTTCCCAGTGCCCTCGGCCACGGTGGACGAGCGGGCAAAGGCGCCGGATTCGAACGCGCGACCGCATATCCGAATTCGCGGTCGCGGGTTCGAATCCCCAAAAGGGAGCAAAAAAATGCTCCCTCTGATTGCAACATTGCCGGGGCTGAAAGACATGAAAAGCTCCGGGCTTAAAAAAAAAGCGCCGTTGCAATCAGTTTTGTTTTTAGATTATCTTTGTGCATGATTAATTACATTAATTTATAGACATAAAGATAGATGATGATTCCCAGTCAAAGGTCCGACGCCGCGTGTCGCTGTTGATTAGGCTCAACATAAAACGTTGTTCTGCTGAGTGCGAGCGCTTCCGTTCCTTAATTAAGGTCACACAGATCACGCAATTTCGTTGTGCAATTAGTCCGTCAAGAAATATGTCTCTTCATAGTCGCCCCCCCCTCCCCCCCCCCCTGCAGACGTACAGACAGAAACAATGAAAAGAGGGAGAAAAGAGAGAGAGAGCGAAGCGTAGACTAAGAGAGAGGAGAGAGGGGTNTATATCATATCTCATTATTATCATAATTCTTGTTATCATCCTTATTAGTTTTATTATTATTATTATTATTATTATCATTATCTTTCGTATTATCATCATTATTAGTGTTATTGTCAGTATTGTTGCCGTCATTATTTTTGATGTTGTTATTACTATCATTATTATCATTACTAATATTATCAGTATTAATATTATTATCAATATTATCATTATCAATATTTTCTATAATCTTTTTCTTTTTATTTTTGCCATCTTTATTTCAGTTTTCATTATTATTATTAGCATCAATATTATTAGCAATATGATCATTATCATCATTTCTATTGTTATTCATCGGAGCCTTGCCTATAAGTCGAAGAAAATAACACGAAAATAAACTAAAGACATTTCGATATATTCTCCGCCGGGAATCGAACCCGGGTCTATGGATTCAGAGACGGCGTGCTAACCATTACACCACAGAGACTTTCCTCCATGCTGAAATTTTAATGATTTGTGTTATTTTATATTATTTCATATTTGAAGAGAGAGAAAGAAAAAAGGGCAAGGAAAAAGGGGATATTTCATTCATAATTTGCACTATATTATTTGTGCTTCTTAAACGTATTAATATCGTCGAGAGAGAAAGATGGGGTGGAGTATTTTAAACATATTCCTCGACTTACTGAGACCTTGTAGTGTAGCGGTTAATACAAATGACTTTAAACCAGATCTCGGGTTCGATTCCCGACGGGGACAAACATTCAAAAAAAAATTTCTTCTACTTATTTTACTTTTATTTTTGTGTGCGAGTCATTTATTTCCATCGAACTTGTTTTTATATCAATATTCATCAACATGTTTCTTATAGATAACATAATTAGAATAGTAATTTTGATATCAGAAATATTGATGTTATTATTTCCTTTCTTATATATTTATTTCATCAAAGTTATAATTATTACTAATATCATTATCATCATTATTATCATTCACATAATCATCATAACAATCACCATTATCATTATTATCATAAAAATCTTATCATAATCAATTATTGTTTATCGTTAGAATTACAATTATAGCTATTGTTCCATTATTAGGAAAATCTATTTCATGTCATCGTCATAATTAATGCTGACATTTATACTCTTCCTATCATTCCTACTATTTATGTTTATTTAATCATATTTTTTATTCTTGTTTCTTTCATGGCTCCAGGTCTCTAAGAAAATATATTTCTGTTTATAGAGATTTTTCTTGTCAGTTAATTTCCACAATCGGTTATGTTGTTTGATTAAACAGAAAATTAGTTCGTAGCATTTGAAAGGGAGATTCATCAAAATTATTTGAAATTGTCAGTATTTATAGAAAATTATCGATTAAGAACCATGTTGCCTTGCCACTTATCGAAAATATAATTTCCTTTGAAATTGCTTTTTCATATATCTTTCTTTCGTAAATAGCAGGAAAAATATGAAATCGGAATATATTACACAACAAGAGAGAGAGAGAGAGAGAACGAGAGAGAGAGAGAGAGAGAGAGAGAGAGAGAGAGAGAGAGAGAGAGAGAGAGAGAGAGAGAGAGAGAGAGAGAGAGAGAGAGAGAGAGAGAGAGAGAGAGAGAGAGAGAGAACAATAGCGATGTCAGACAAACATGTGGAGACAGAGACTAAAAGGGAATATATACAGATAGGCAGAGAGTGAAAGAAAGAAAGATACAGAGAGATAGAGACAAGAACGTAAGGGAAAGAGAAAGAGAAGGTTAGGGAGAGAGAGAAAGGGTGGAAGAGAAAGAAATACTGAGACAGAGAGAGCAGAGAAAAGAGAGAAAGGGGGAGGGGAAGCGAGAGCGAGAGAAAAGGAGGAGGAAAGGGGGATATATCTATAATTGCCCTTTTTGGCACAATGTGGTTTTTGACATCTTTTCCGGTGGCAATTAGGGAATGACCGAGGTTCACGGCTAGCTATTCTGCTGCACTGGTTCGACTGGTACACAGTACTTTGGAATGTAATATAGTTTTTGATATGTTATGATAGGTTGCACTGTGCTTTAGACGACCAATTTACGTAGGAATCTGTATGAAAACAACCGAGATCAGAGGAATAAGTATCATTACTGTTATGGTTGTTATTTTTATTATTACTACTATTATTTTTCATCATTGTCTATTACTATTTTCATTATTATTATTATCCTTATCATTGCTCTATCTTTAATAATTTGATTTTTTCTCATTATTATTATTATTATCTTTAATACTGATACAGCGGCACTTCTTGGAATTGCCTATTTCGAGAAGCTGCCGAATACGGGAAGCTGGGGTCCAAGGCATGCGCGCCGACCAGGAAGACAGGCAGTCATAGCTGTCATAGGATTTATACAAAAGGGTTACTAACGTAATTTATGAAATTCACTTTGGCTCAAATTAATATGTATCTTGATATTAGATATTTATATGATTTATCGATAATGAATTGCAGCAGGTTGGCCTGAGTTCAATATATAATATATATATATATAAATATATATATATATATATATATGTATATATATTTTTTTTTTCTTTCTTTTTTTTTTTTTACTTTTTCATTGAATACAGGGACTGGTGTACGCAAAAAAAAAAAAAAAAAAATGTCGACCGCGCATGCAATAAGCGCCTCTATGTCCAGTGATTCAGAAATCAAAGGATTGTACATACTGTATGAAAATGCACAATGGTCAGGTTCTGAATCATTGAACATACGGGTAATTTTTTGGCCTCCCACATAAGAGTAAACAGTAGTATATATTTCAATCCTATTATTCGGCATTTTGAGATGTTCCATGCAAAGGTGACAGGTATAAAGTGACCTTCGCGAGCAACAGTCTTTTGTGCCTCTTTTCAGGGGAGAGGGAGGGGGGGGGGATTCCAGAAAGAGTATATTTTCTACGTTTATGAAATGTTGAAAACTGGGAACCCAGCCCTTACAAATTTAGGGAAAGAAAGCTATTTTTATCTAGAGTAATCTCTCTCTCTCTCTCTCTCTCTCTCTCTCTCTCTCTCTCTCTCTCTCTCTCTCTCTCTCTCTCTCTCTCTCTCTCTCTCTCGTCTCTCACTCTCTCCTCTCTCCTCTCTCTCTCTCCTCTCCTTCTCTTCCTCTCTCTCTCTCGCTCTCTCTCTCTCTCTCTCTCTCTTCTCTCTCTCTCTCTCTCTGCTCTCCTCTCTCCTCCTCTCTCTCTCGCTCTCTCTCTCTCCTCTCTCGCTCTCTCTCTCCTCTCTCTCTCTCTCTTCTCTCTCTCTTCTCTCTCTCTCTCTCTCTCTCGCTCTCTCTCTCTCTCTCTCTCCCCTCTCCTCTCTCTCTCTCTCTCTCTCCTCTTCTCTCCTCTTCTCTCTCTCTCTCTCTCTCTCTCCCTCTCCTCCTCCCTCTCGCTCTCTCTCTCTCGCTCTCTCTCTCTCGTCTCTCCCTCTCCCCTCTCTCTCTCTTCTCCTCATCTCCCTCCCTCTCTCTCCCTCTCCTCCTCTCTCTCTCTCTCTCTCTCTCTCTCTCTCTCTTCTCTCTCTCTCTCTTTCTTCCTCTCTCCTCTCCTCTCTCTCTCTCTCTCTCTCGTCTCCTCTCTCTCTTCTCTCTCTCTCTCTCTCTCTCTCGCTCTCTCTCGCTCTCTCGCTCTCTCTGCTCTCTCGCTCTCTCGCTCTCTCGTCTGCTCTCTCGCTCTCGCTCTCTCTCTCTCTCTCCTCCCTGTCTGTCTGTCACCTATCTTCGTCTGTCTGATTCATTTATGTCTCTCACTTTATGAACTACAACAGCAGTTTCTAGCATTGCCAAAAAGTAAAACACACGACATATATATATTCATAACAATTCACACGAGCTGTCTGTTCCTGACTACATGTGTAAAAATCCTAAAGAGAGAAAAAAAACGTGTATATATGCAATTATAATAATATTGATATTCGACATCAATGATAGTATGATAAGAAGTTGAATTAATGATGCCAAAATGATAATTGCCACCGGGAAAGTGATGCAAAAGAACAAATTACAGATGAGACATCCACCTTTTCCTCCGTTTCTATCGCTCTCTCTCTTCCTTTCCTCTCTCTCTGTCTCTGTAGTATCTCTCTTTCACTCTTCCCCCACCCTCTCTCTCTCTTCTCTCTCCCTCTACATACATACATATATATATATATATATATATAATATATATATTATATATTATATTTTCTCTCCTCTTTCTCTTTCTCTCTTCTTCTTCTTTCTCTTTCTCCTCTCTTTCTCCTTCTCTCTCTCTCTCTCTCTCTCTCTCTCTCTCTCTCTCTCTCTCTCTCTCTCTGTGTGTGTGTGTCCATTTATCATGTAAAAATATGTGTACGTGTTAACACATACACATTCGTCTCAGCTGGGAATCGAACCCAAGTCTTTCGCCTAACAGGCGAATGTGCTATCCACTGCACCACGGAGGCTTAAGTAAATTAGGAACTTTAAGAGTATTTAATTTCAAGTGTTTTGACTATGTAAATAATTAATATTACGTTCTATGTTTTAGGGTAATATGAATTATCTTTCTTCTTTTTCTTCTTATTCTTATTATTACTATTCTTATTGTTATTATCATTATCATTATTATCATCATTATCACTATCATCCTCATCATTAACGCTGTTATTAACCATTATCATTACTATCATTGTTATTATAGTTTCTTACCAGAGTCTTTCCTTTATATGAAGAAAAAGAACACGAAAGAAAAAAAAAATGTCCGGCTATATTCCGCCGGGAATCGAACCCGGGTCTACGGATTCAGAGACCGTCGCGCTAACCGCTGCATCACCGAAAATTTTCAATCTTTGCCATCATTCATTGTTAAAAATTCACACAAACACAAAAAAAAAAAAAAAAACGATTCGCGGACACAGATGCATTTCTTAATGCGCCAAATGTTGTAATGTTTCGTCTTTCTTTTTTTTCTATGGATTGGAGTGAAGTAAATCATGTTTCTTTTCTCGTTTTTTGTTTTGTTTTGTTTTCTTTTTGCATTATTGTAAGAATCATCATTATTATTGTCATTGCTGTTTTATCACCATTGTTGTTTAAATAATTATCATTATCATTGTTGTTGTTTTTATTCTTATTGTCATCATCAATATTAACATTATTATTAATATTGTTGGTAGGAATATTATCATTGTTATCTCCATCATCATTATCATCATCCTCACCATCATCATAATTATCATTATCAATATCATCATCGTCTTCATCATTATTATTTCTAATCATTTTTTTCTTTCTATAATCATCTTTATTTTGTTATTATGAATATTATCTGTCTTATTACTATTTTCATTATCATCATTGCTATTGTTCTTTTCATCATCATTCGTCCTATCATTTTCATTATCACTTCAATTATCATCAGTATTGTGATTATCAATATCATAATTAACATCGGCATTGCAATTACGATTAACACTGTTATCATTAATATTGTTGTTCTTATTGTTTTGATTATCATCATCATTGTTATCATGACTTTAGTATTAACACTATTATTGCTATTAATATTATTATCATTATCATTACTATTATCTAAATTTTCATTGTCATTGTTATCATCACCATTATTATCATTATTGTTATTATTATCATTTTTTTTATTATTATGAATATTATCTATTATTCATTATCATTACACTATCATTATCATTATTACTAGCATCTTTATTCTTGTAATTATTATCATTAGTAGTAGTATCGTCATTATCACTTTCATCATTGTTATTACCCATATTATCAGTATTTTTATTATCATTGTTATTGTTATCATTACTTTTATTATTATGAATGTAATCATTATTAATTTATTATTACCATTATTATCATTATCATTGTAGCGTCGTCCTCAGGTTTTGTGACCCCGATGCGCTAATAATACAATAGTCTCCGTTAAAACTGGAAGGTCGCTTTGGCCTCCCGTTTTCAACTCCGTTTTCTATCATCAGGTATAATTATTGGTCATGTTATTAGAAGATTCATTCATTTACAATTCTTATTTTATCTAATTTCTGTTATCTTTCTCTCTGCTCAATAGTTTACGTGTTTGTGTATCTGCTCATACTCAAAGTATAGGTTAGTTTGTTAATTTGTATTCATATCTTATTTTATTATAAATAGAATTCACTAGCCGTGCAGGTTTGCCACGGTATCTTTGTATTCCAGAAAAGTCTGACTGTCTGGGGTATATTATAGGATTATCATGCTTGATTACTGATAACAATTTATTAATGAATCCTATTACACATTACATATCACTCGTGTATATATATATATATATATATATATATATATATATATATAATATATATATATATATATATATATATATATATACACTCAGAGCCAGGTTGACCTCAGGGTACACTACATTAATATTAATATTATCATCATTATTACCGTTATCTATATTCTTTATCACCACCATTTTCATTTTATCATTACCATTATTATTCCTATTTTCCTTATTGTTATCATTAGCATCAATATTGTTATCAGTATTATAGTTATCTTAATTATCTTTTTTTTTCTTGGAGCTTTGCTTAAAAGTCAAGGAAAAGAACCCGAAAAGAAAGTAAAATATTTCGATGTGTACTCCACTGGGAATCGAACCCGGGTCTACGGATTCGGAGACCGTCATGCTAACCGTTACGCCACAGACGTTATCTTAATATAGTAGTAATTAATGGTATAATTTATTCACAAATATTGATGTACAAACAAGTTAAAGAGTCATCTTTTAATGTTTCAAATGCTGTTGTATTTCTTTTTTTTATGAATTTAAGTAACTTCTCGTTTCATTATTATCATCAATATTTCTATTGTTGTTGTGATTTATTTAATTATTTTCATTTATATCATCATTATCATTGTGAAAATTGTTGTTATGGTTGTTATCATCTTTGTCATCACCATCATCATTATAAATATCATTATTATCATTATTACTAATAAACATTCTCATTGTCATCATTATTTCTTTCTATTATTATGAATATTTCTATCATTATTTTCTTATTATCATTGCTATTGTTATTTCTATTGTTGTTATCATTACTATTATCATTATTATTGTTATTGTTATTGTTTTTATTACTGTTATCATTATCATTTTTGTTATTCCTATTGTTGTTGTTGTAGTATTAACATGATCACTGTCATCATTATTATTAGTTAATATCATAATCAACACTGTCTCGCTTGTATCGTCTCTGTTTTATTGTTTGCAAATGTTTGTGTTATTGTGATCTCATCATTAACTTCACCGTCATTATCCTAATTACCATCATTAAATTTTCGGAAAGAAAGAAGCGAGTCATGAAAGGATCTTTAGAATCGTGAGAAGATGAAGGCGTCGGAGAAAAGGATTTGTTTTCGTATTTCTTTTCTCGTCAACACAATTAGTGCATTTCCCGCGTGAATTTAACCTCGCCTTGTTCCCGCGATTCACACGTGCTTTCCCCCGAATCCGTTGGACGAATTTAGATTGTGAATTTAGATTATGAGTTTAGATTTTTAATTTAGATTACATATTTAAATTATAAATTTAGATTACAGATTTAGATTATAAATTTAGATTACATTTAGATTTAGATTACAGATTTAGATTTTAAATTCCTTGACCCTCAGGCGCTGGTAAACAATTTGCAAATCGTCGGCGACCGTTACTCCTCGGACCCTGATTCCACTGATCGTTTTCATTTCATCCTTTTATTCCTTTTTTTGGAATTTGCGTTACTTATCGGAGCCTTGTCTATATGTGAGGTAAAGCAGCACTAGAAGAAAAAATCTTGAAAATGGTCTCCGCCGGGAATCGAACCCGAGTCTACGAAATCAGAGTCCGTCGCGCTAACCATTGCACCACAGAGGCTTTGTAAATTATTTGCATACATGAGCCATCTTATTGACATGCACTGATGGACGGACACGTTAAAGATGCTCCTCTTCATGTTTCAAATGCTGTTTTTTTTTATGTTCTGTGGATTAGAGTAAGATGAAAGATATTTCTTTTCTCATTTTTTCACTATAATTATTACCATTATCATCATTGGTATTTTCATGATTGTCATTACTTAAATTGTAATTATATTCCTATTACTATTGTACTTGTTTTAATGCTATTATCCTTATAATTATAATTACCATCTTTATATTTTTATCATCAAAGTTATTATTATTATCATTATTATTATTATTATAATCATCATCATTATTTCTTGTTATTATCACCATTATTAATTTATTATAATTATAGATAATATCATTATTATCTTTTTATTATCATTATCATTATCATTATCATCACTAATGTAGATGTTATTATCATTGTCAATGTTAGTTTCATAATGATTGTTATTGTTATCACTATTGTAGGTATTATTATTATTATTATGACTATTCCAGTTATTATGATTATCATTATTACTGTTATTATTACTATTATAAATAACAATGTAATAATCATTATTACCATTATTATTATTGTTTTTATTATCAATATCATCGTTATCATTATTATTTCTATAATTATGATGATTAGTATCACACACACTGTTCTTGAATATTACTATTACTGTAACTTTCTCTCTTTCCTTTTTTCCCGAAGGATTTGCTGGTCTTGGAGGCCGATGCACGCCAGAGGTCAGCCTCGGCGTCGACCTTTTCCGCTGAACTGAACACACGGAAAGGCGAGAGAGAGTCTTATCGTGGGAGACAAAATGCTCATTCCGTGGACAGCGGAGGAATGCGTTATATATTGATGTATATGTCTTCGCAGCATTATCGGAGTCGAAATGATTGTTTTCTTTCTCTTGAAATCCTATCACTTTTACTTTCACTTTCTTTTTCTCTCTCCTCTCATCCCGTCTCTCTCTCTCTCTCTCTCCCTCCCTCTCTCTCTCTCTAAATATAAAGTAAAATAATTTCCAGATGATTCCTAAACATTGGCTGTGGAATCCCTCTCCTTCTTCGCCCCTTTATCCACTCGCTCCCGTCCCCTGAATCATCTCCCTCTCCCTTCCTCTCTTGTTTTCTCTACGCTTCTCATTCTACCATTTCCGCTGTCCTTACTTTGTTTTCCTTGTACCGGTTTTAAGGATTCGTGCGCGGTAATAATAATAATAATAAAAACAATCCTTGGCATCCAGCGTTAATTGCAATAAATGGATTAATAACATGATGCGCCAAAACGTGGCTTCTTTGCCTCGCAGTAGATAGTCAGCTGATCAGCTGTGTCACTCACCGTTGCTGGCTGACATTATTTTTTTCCTTCTTTTTTTTTTTTTTTTTTGTGAACTGAGGCGAAGGTGCCGAAGCAGAGTCACTCTCCCAGCGGTTCGGATGAAAGGCTCGCCAATGCCTCTCTACGGCCTAAGCAGATTAAATACAAGTCGATGGACACAAAATAAGA